GCCACTATTGGTTTGCCCGATCCAGGCCAAACCGGGAGCAACCCACCTCTGGTACTGCATAAAGGAATGAGCTCCCGTTACTTGTCCCAGCTGTAAAAATGCAAGTAGAAAAATAGGGACCACCTTTGGTGGGAATGTAACAGCATTCTGTGCACCTTCAGAATTCAATCATGCCGGCCACTGGCTCTTCAGCTTATAAACGGAGATGAGCATGACCCCCTAGAGTCGGGAATGATTAGCACATATGTGCGAGGGAAACCTTTAACTTTACCTTATAACAGATAAAAGGTTCTTATGTCTGTCTGTTCATCTGTCCATAAGTTGGTTTATTTATTTTATTGAGGGAAGGCCCTGTTTATGGTTAGGCTTGGGCAGTGGTGGGTTTCAAAAAATTTTGGAACCTCTTCCGTAGGTGTGGCGCACTTTCGAGGTCCACTGGTAGAACCTCTTCTAACCGGTTCGGTAGATTTGACGAACCAGTTCTACCGAATAGGTGCGAACTGGTAGGAACCCACGTCTGGGCCTGCGGTTCCCAGATAATAAAATGACAAATCTCTACTACATAATCTGTTTCAAAAACATGTATTTTACCCCAATAGAAATATTTTCAGCTATGATTACTGAGCATAGCTGTACAGTGCACGTGTCATTAAATCAAATGTACTTTGTTCCAAATCTCTATTAGTACAATAATTAACTAAATAACTGAGTTGGAAGGAAACTTGGATCCCTACCCCTTGCTTATGCAGGAAACCCTATGCCATTTCAGACAAATCATTGTCCAATCTCTTCTTAAAAACATCCAGTATTGGAGCCCCCACAACTGTTGGAGATAAGTCATTCCACTCATTAATTGTTCTAACTTTGAGGAAATGTCTCCTTAGTTCTAAGTTGATCCTCTAATGGCTCTTTTGCTAAATTGACTACTTTTATTCCCTTTTCATCTAGGGTTTGTATCTCTGTTTTTATAATATTTATTATTAATGTGATTTTTTTGTATTTTTTTTATATCAATGGTTTTTGTATGTGGTTTTACCCAGTTGCTTTCAGTAATATGAGAGGCTATATAAATCTAATAAATACATAAATATAGATAAATACATGTGCATACCAATGAGCTCTGGAAGAAAAGTTGAATATAAATAAATATAAATCAAGCATAAGATAGTGAATAATACTTAGGGAAGGAAGCATTTTGCTACATATTAAATAATTAAGGTAAGAGTATAATATTAGTCTATTTACCTTATTAAGTTAAATTGACAAAAACTAGTTTTTTATAAACTACTGTTAGTCAACACTATGATTTTGCCCACTATCTTTGGTGGTCATGTTTCTTCAACCTTTGTCATACAATTCCATTGTTCCTAGCTGAAGACCTTTCTATCGATTTTAAAGCTCTGCATTTAATACTTCCATATATTTTTCAACTAATTCCTTTCAAACTGATGAAAGTCATTTAGATTGCAAAGCTTCTTTAAAAGGAAAAAAGATTATTGGTAAAATTCCCATGAAGAGAATTGTGTGTTCTTGCACCTGTTGTGTCATGAGATGATCAAAAGATGTAGGGTGAATGCCTTCTCTTTATTGTACAATCGACTCTCTAGCAGACTCCAACTTTGTTCCCTTTCCACACTTCAATCAAAGGAAAGACATCATTAAGGAACTCTTCACATTCTGCAAAAAAAGTGCAATGGAAAATGTGCACATTTTCCTCATTTCCGCAGCAGACTTCATAGTAATAAAAAGAAAACCGCATTAGCAGTAGCTCTACCACCTGAAAACTGAATAGGGAAACAAAAGCTAGATAATTTCTTTTAGAGAAATTGCTAGCTAGATTCTGACATATTATAATTTAGTTATTGACATAGAGAATACACACCTTGATGAACTATGAAACAAAACAAATGTTATGTCATGTTCTGGCAGAGATGTTAATCATTTTCAAATTTACTCAGAATATGGGACACACTTTTCTTTAGATACTTTTGCCTTTTGGGATCAGAACAAATTTCTCAATCTGCTTTCACACCAGTTTCTCTTCTCCAAATCCATGTGCTTGATTCTACGTGGGAAAATTCACCCAGAACCATTCCTGCCTAGGAAAGAAGCTAAAGAATGAGCTAAATCTCTTCTGTGGCTATGCTGTTTTCTAACAAGCATGAATAGAGGTTGATGAGATTTTTAGTAAAAAGAAATAGTTGGAAATATTTAATTTATGCTATCATATGTTTCAGTAAAGACCCAGCTTTCTGAAGAAGACACTAATGCTGGAAAAAGTTAAAGGAAAAGGAAACATAAGAAAACAACCAATAATAAAATGATTGGATTCAGTAGTATATAGTAGTAAAAAGGCTGCATCATTAGAAGATCTGAAAGAGCAGGTGAAGGACACATTGTCATAGAAAAAAATTCAATGTATGAGGTTGCTAAGAGTCAACACCAACTTGATGGCACACAATAAATCAATCTCTCATATGATGGTATTGCCTTGCATTTTGCTCAGGAATGTAGGCAAATCTGGAAATTTATTTTTTGGGAGCAGGGTTTTTTCATTGCCCCTTTCAGCTGCTAAAGCAGGCTGAGTTTTTATTGTTGATGGTCAATCACATCATACGAAGTGGGTCAAAAATAACCAATACATAACTGCTCCTCTTTTTTTCAGGAAGCCTGGTATGCTGAAACCCCTAATAGCACTACTGTAAAGAGAAAGCTAAGGTTTATGAGGCTGCTATCCTTTCCCCATTATTCAAGTGGGCAGTGGTAACCCTGCAAGGGATCAGCATTTTAGAAATGTGGTCTGTCATGGAGATGCTTGGTTTTTCCTCGGATCTTTTTCTTGGAAGAACTTAGTATGCAAAAGAAATTAATTTACTGGGTTTGAGGGTTTCCAGGTCATAAGATGCTGCCTATATGTAAACCATGTGCATGGCTATGACTCTTTGAATTATATTGGCCACTTTTTTGTTTGTTCCTACAACACAATATGCACCTTCCCTGTTGACCATGTAGGTGTATTGAGAAGCTAGAAACAGAAACTGNTCTCTGTTTTCCAGTCTAACACCTTAACTATACCATTGCGGCTCTCTTGAATGTCTGTCTTGAAAATGTATGGAAATTTTCAGTCATCCATATCAGGATTGTCCCAAAGATGCTTTTCAAAGCTTTTTCATTTCTCATCCAGAATTAAAGATGCTTCTTGGATGGGAAGTGAAACATCTTGAGGGCAAAACAAAGTAAAATAAGTTGTCTTTTTAAAAAGCACCTTTGGGTCCCCCTTGAACTTATCAGGATTATGAAAAACAGTGCATATTACTTTCCTATATCTGTATTCTTTAATACAGACAATAGAATGCACTTTTCAGTATCTCAGTCCCATAAAAGTAAAGTGTCTTTTAATAGTGTATCACAGTCGCACTTTGCAGTTACAATAAGATTATAGCTACTATTTTACTAAAATAATATGTAATGTATAAATATTAAATAAATGTATACTATTTATTATCAAATGTGGTTATGAAAAAAGAACTTCAATATTTGGAATAAAATTTCAAGAATGTAATACTATATAGTTCCATTATAGATAATAATGGTTGGAAGTTATATGAGCAAAACTAATTAACATTCCTTAAACTTTCAGCATACAGTTAGAGCCCTGGCACTGAAAGTCTTAAGAGAGATTTTAAGACATCAACCAGCAAGGTTTAGAAATTATGCAGAACTCACAATAATGAAGACTTTAGAAGCTCATAAGGACCCTCATAAGGAGGTTTGTATTAAACTTAAGAATGAACTGAAGTAATAATATGGTATTCAGTGAAGAAGATTAAAATATAGGCTAGTTTTTCACAAGACAGATTTCAGGAATTTAAATGAGAAAATCATATTTCCTATTCAAAACTATTCAAATAATGCAGATTTTTATGAACAGGGGACCTAGAGGTCCTTTAACATCTGCTTTAATAAGATGCGAGCATCTTCTAATCTTTGATCCTTGATAAACAAGATCCTTATCATTTTCCCAACTGCATAAAATTGTGTACAGAGTTTAAATGCTTCTAGGAATATTATTCTTTGTTCTGTCAGTTTTATTAAACAATAATGTCAGTATATTCATTAGTTTTGCTTTTGAATGTTACAAGGCATAAAATGTGGCAATTAAGTACATTTTCTCACATGAATTCATTTTAATTGGAAATCATGGATTAATATTTAGATATAATAGAAATTTAAAAATATACATCTCATATTTTCTAGAATGGTTTTTTTTCATTTTAAGACTAGTATAGTTGCAAAGTCAATAAAAGTTGTTATAAAATATTTCCTAGATATATTAGTTCAGTTTTCCAACATATCTGGATAAAATTTCAAGTCCGAAGCTATTTTGTTTAAATTCTGATACTATTGAAATGCTGCTGTTGTGACAGAAATTTCTATTGTAAAACAAAATATATTGACATTTAATATTCTATATATTGTAGTACCATTAAAAAAAAGCTATTCAAGTGTACTATTATTGGATTTCTATATTTTTCTTTAATCCATTAGGTGGTAAGATCAGCTGAAGAGGCTGCTACTATGCTGGCCACATCTATTAGTCCAGATCAATGCATCAAAGTACTTTGTCCCATCATTCAAACAGCAGATTATCCTATAAATCTGGCTGCAATCAAAATGCAGACCAAAGTTACTGAAAGAGTACCTAAAGAAATTCTTGCTCAACTTTTGCCAGAGATAGTGCCAGGTTTAATACAGGTAAGAAGATACAGAATCATGAACAATGAAAGGAATATTGCAAAACTATTTTTTCAAAGATTATTCTCTTTTTCAAGTAATCTACTAACTTTATAGAATATTTTACTGAAATATATTTTTTCTAACATGTTTTAAGATTATCAATTTTATTTGGATTGATATGCATTTGAATTACTTCTTTTCTAGGGCTATGATAACTCTGAAAGCAGTGTTCGAAAGGCATGTGTCTTCTGCCTTGTAGCTATTCATGCAGTAATTGGTGATGAGCTGAAGCCACATCTTAATCAACTCACTGGCAGCAAAGTAAGTGACATGCCATACCAAAATCTGATTTTGATTTTTTCTAATTTATGGAGATTTTTTTTAAAGTGTGGGTGGAGATGGTTTTAAGACCAGAAATTTGTTCAGAATCTCATTTTTGTGCTCTCTGCACTCTGTTGCTACTTTTATTTTTCATGAACTATGTTAATATATATGGAAAATGAAATGTTATAAATAGAGCTTGTAATACAGTTGTATTTTCAGACTGTAAATTAGAAAGCTGATAGTTCAGGTCCTAATCCTGCATACAAAGCACTTTATAGGCATGTAGAAAAACTAGAATATCATAGCTTTACGTTGTAAAATAAGTCTGTTACATACTATTTTTCTTTCAGTGAAAGACAGTAGTCAGATATTCAGTTCTTCAACAATAGTTTGAATTGCGGAAAGTACCATTCAAACCAGGCTCAATGGCTAAGATGTTCAGTGGTTAAGATGCTGAGCTTGTCGATCACAAAGATCGGCAGTTCAGCAGTTCGAATCCCTAGCACCGCATAATAAGTAAACTCCTGTTACTTGTCCCAGCTTCTGCCAACCTAGCAGTTCAAAAGCATATAAAAATGCAAGTAGAAAAATAGGAACCACCTTTGGTGGGAAGGTAACAGCGATCCATGCACCTTTGGCATTTAGTCATGTCGGCCACATGACCACGGAGACATCTTTGGACAGCACTGGCTCTTCGGCTTTCAAACAGAGATGAGCACCGCCCCCTAGAGTTGGGAACGGCTAGCATATATGTGCAAGGGGAACCTTTACCTTTACGATTCAAACCCTCTTCAGTAATTTGGAGCTATGTGGAATAATAGACAACATACTAAAAATGAGAATAATATATTACATGCAATGATTTAATCAACATGCTTGAAATAAAAGTTGCTAAAATGTTATAAAGAAAATACAAAGCATCACAACATCAAAATATATCCACTGTTTGGTCTTATAGAATAACAATTGTGCTCATACATTTGCTGCCTTTTTTCTCTTCAGTAATTAATTTCTGATTTAGAGAAAACAATAACTGCCATTAGATTATAGATGAAATTTACCATATAAAGCAAAGTGAAACATAGTTAATTAAATAGTTAATAATTAAATAGAATGCAGAAAAGTTATGAGCATTGAAATTTATAATCAAATCTGTTGGGGTCATTCCATGTTAAATGGTCTGGGACTCACAGCTCAACCATCATGGATTTTGATGAAATTTGGTGTGAACATGCACACACATCCCCCATGAACAATGGATAAGTGTTACATTTGCCGATGCAGTACTTGCGGCGATATAGACATTTCTTTGACCTCATACCGCAGCCTTTGACTCTGAGATTTCAGCAACTTTGAGACGTAATATCTCCAGCAATATTTTGTTGAGAGAAACAAAACTTGGCCATCTTGTACAACTTGTTGTGCTCCATTAAACAAAAGAATAAAAACATCATGAGTGTTCACCTGTGCCTTTACTCCCAAGCTGGTCCTTGTTCCTTAACTGTGTTCCCTTCTCCCTTCCCAGAAAGCCTTTTGAATCTCTTCCTGTTG